CGTCTTGTAGTTTTCATTGTACAAAACTTCTGCTTCTCTGGTTAGTCTTATTCCCAAGTGTCTTATTGCTTTTGATGCTATTGTGACTGGGATTGTTTTTTCATTTCTTTTTCAGAAGTTTCATCCTTAACTTATAGAAATGGAACCGATTTCTGTATATTGATTTGATATCCTACAAACTTGACTGAAATCATTAATTCAAGCAATTTTGGGGTTGAGCCTTTGGGATGTGTCTATATACAGAATCATTTTATCTGCAAATAGCAACAGTTTAACCTCTTCCCTCCTGATGGGGATGTGCTGTATTTCTTTGTCTTATCTAATTGCTCCAGCCTGGACTTCCACACTGTACTGAGTGGGTGCGTGGGCACCATGTCCTGTTCCTGGCCTTAGAGTCCTCACTGTGCTGCAGGTCTGATTGTGTTTGTAATTGTGGGATGAAAAAGCCCTTCTAATATATCAAATTTAAGTTTCTATATGTCCAAAATACAGTAGGAAGAGCACTAAACATTAGGAGAAAAGATTTTGCAGCACATGTTAGAGAGAGAGGGCTGATGTCATTAAATTTTTTTCAAAGATTCTACAAATCAATTTACGACACCCACTCAGGAAAAATATGGGAAAACTATAGGAACAAGTAATTTTCAAAAGAGTACATAGAAAATGTTACAAATAAGGCTCGGGGTGGGACTAAAGGGTGGTCTTGTGCCCAGATACATTTCAGAAATAGTGGATTAAATAAAATTAAGCCACTTTCCTTACTGCCTTGCAGTGAGATTTCTTGGAACTGTTGATAGGGGGATATCCACCGTGACTTTACGAACGGGGCCTCTCCAGCACTTGTCTAACCACAGAGCTGTTCTCTGTGCAGCTGCCAACAGGACAGAGGCTCCAGAGCATACACGGCAAAATGCCGCCTTAACTCGTTTGCTCCTACCACAGCCCTCCCACTTTTCCCACTGAATGAAGTTTCATAATCTGCTACAGGTGGCCTAAATTAAATAAGTTCCTTATGCCACCCCAGCACCACTGCTTCTCCCCGCATGTTGGGTCCATGGCTGGATTTGTAACACCTCAACAAAGAGGGAAGCGGAGACTGGAGGAGCAAAGGCAGTTGCTGAATGATCATGCCACGTCCCCTGTACTTCCAGAACTGCGGATCCAGGCCCTGGGGGATCATTTTATTTTTTACCTTGACTGTGTTTCATTCAGTTTTAAATGTATATTTTATTTCTTACCTTTATTATGTTTTATTTATTTATGGATTTGTTTTTAAAATTTTTCCCAGCACCATATATCCCCCCATACTCTCTTCCACCTCCACCCACCTCCCCACCCTCCACAATCACCACACTGTTGTCTGAGTCCATGAGTTCCCTTTTTTTCTCTTTTGCTCAGTCTCTCCCAACCCCATCCCCCCAAGAGCTGTCAGCCTACTCTCTATGAGCCTGTCTCTATTTTGCTTATTCAGTTTGTTCATTAGATTCCACATGAGTGAAATAATATGGTAATTATCTTTTTAAATGACATATTCACTGGCCTAATACATTTACTTTGATAAATTGATCGTAAGGTCCTCATTTCCAGAGTCATCTGCTCTAACTCAGCACCCCTTTGGGCCTCCAAGTCAGCTCTGCAGGAGCCAGGGGAGAGGCCGCAGCCCTTCCCCATCGCTGCTCTGGGAGTGCCTGGCCCAGCGGCCTGGCTCTTCCTGGGCGGGTCCCTTGAGCGCCATGAGCAAGTGGAAATAAGAAGCCAGAGCATCTTCTTTTCATTCCAGTCCGGAATTGCCCCACCTGTGCTTCCAACCGAAGCAGATAAAAAGCCAGCCGCAGCTGCTTCTGCTGGGGCTGTCACAAACGCACGGCAGAGCTGCCCCTGCATGACATCATAGTGAGCTCAGGGTTAGAGAGGAAGCAGGGGGCGGAAGGTAGCCTGGCTGAGCCGAGTCTGCGGCGGCACTGAATGCACACGTTGCAGGCAAACCTCTGTCAGTACGCTCCCCTTTCCCCGAGACTGAGCCTCCTGAGGAGTCATGCATTCTGTCATCTGCTTTGTCATTAAAGAGCTTTGGGTCTTTGGGCAAGTTTCCAGGCCCTGGAACCAGGTCTCACAGCCTGCGATGACTGATTAAGAGACTTGGATTTCATTGTGAGGTGAACAGGGAGAGCGGTGCAATGAAAGCAGGTCATACAGCCACATGTGCATTAACAGGCTATTCTGGGGGGTAGCATGGAGATTATTTCAGGATGAAACGAGAAAAGAGAATATCGCATAGTGGAAGTGGCTCCACTAACACAGATGAAACATCACACAGTGGTGGTGGCCTAGAGGGGGAAAGAGGGTGGGCGTCTTCATTTTCCAAGGCTGCCATAACAAAACACCATACACGGGGTGGCTCAAACAACAGACGTTTCCTAGTTCTGGAGGCTGGCAAGTCCAAGATCAAGGTGCTGACAGGGTTGGGTTCCTTCTGAGAGCCAGGATGGAGGGATGGGTTCCAGGCTTCTCCCTGTGGCAGGCAGATGGACGCCTCCTACTGCCACTGCGCTCCGTCCTCTGTGCATGCACATGCCTGGTGTCTGCCTCTTCCCAAACGGGCACAAGTCCTATCAAATCAGGTCCCTGCCCTGAGGGTCTCATGTTAGCTAGATCACCTCTTTAAAGATCTATCTCCAAATATGGTCACATTCGGAGGTACTAGGGGCTGGGGCTTCAACTGATGAATTTTAAGGGAAACCCAATTCAGCCTATAACAATGAAGTTGCAGAGAAACAGATGTAGTTAAGAGATAACAAGGAGGGTGAATATAGAAATACTGTGATTGACAAACTATACAGGATGAGTAGGCAGATCTACTGCATATCCCAAACATTGTATGGGGCATATATATACTAAAAATGTGTTCTTGATCTGAAATTCACATGCAACTGGACATCCTGTGTATTTATTTGCTACATTTGGCAATCTTCATCTGCACTGAGAAAGCTTCCTAGTCTGACACCAAAGTTACAGAACTCCTGGCTGGATGGTGGTAACTAAAGTCACCACACTAATGCCACCATGGGGGCCTCTGGACCACCAGCCAGGTAGCAGTCCTGGGCCACCCATGTTATTGTGTGCCTCCTTTCCTTTCTGCATTTCTACAGATTCCTTATAGAGCTTCTCTCCACACCCAGGCCCCCATGTCTTCCCAATTCCGGGGGAGCCATTTCCATTGTAATCTACAGGAATGGCGCCCTCTGGAGTTGTGGCTGGGCATGGTGGCTTCGTCCCCACCCATCCACCCCCTCCACATGGGTTCAGGCATGGTATAGTCCACTGTTATTGTGGAGAACCTTGACAAAGAAATGCTGGGCTGTAAATGAATATTTCACAAGCAACAGGGCCCAGGTCATGTTAATAGGAGATATACAGACCCAGTAGGAAATGAATCTTCCTAGAGGTGGGCTGTGATTTTGTCCAGATGCTTTTCCAGAATACAAGCAGCAATTTAAAGTGGCTGTGCCTGTCCCTACATCCTGACGGGTGAGATGAGCTGTCATCCTCCATCTTCCCAACCAGACCTGGGCCCAGGCTTCTCCTCCCCTCCATACCCCCAGAACCAACAGAACATGAGTAAAGGAGAAGCTGCAGGCATTTGGCTGGGGGTGGAGTGGGTAGCAGGGCCAGGGGAGGTAGAGAACTGAGTCCTAAGAAAGCGCAGAGGGAAGGCCCTGATCTTCCTGGTCACAGGACTAGGCCAGGTGACCTGTCATGCTTTGGGACCTGTACCCCCATGCCGTTAGAGGCTTGGCCTTTGTCAGGGACAGGATATTCTATTTGAGAAGGCACATGGGACATTACTCAGAACAGGCGAGGATGTCACTGTCCACGGCCACTCAACAAGTGCTCCACCCCTTTTAGTGGACACCAGGGTGCTGAGTGGCGGCTGCGGGAGAAGGGAAGTGGTGAGGAGAAAGTGGCTGGGGCCACACCCTCAGCGTAGCCACACTTGAGTCATGTGATCCCGTTTTGAGCTTTCTGACTTTACTCGTGAGATTGTTATCCCTTTTCTGCTGGTGAGGAACCCCAGAGAGCAGGCTGGTGAGGGTACACACGGCAGTCTGGACACGACTGTGGCCCTTTGGGAACTGGAAGGAGCATGTGACTCACTTCCCACCATGGGGCCTGCCCGGTGGTGGTGGCGGGGAGGGCCTTCCTGCGGACGTCCCGAGGTCTGCCTGAGTCAGAGCGCTGCAAGTACGAGGTATGCAGGAAGGTCCAAACCCGTGACTGCTGACCAAACCTGCTGATGTAAGGGGAAGCCACGGGCCAGGCACTTACATCTGTGCGTCTGACCTTTGCATGTTTAGTAATGGTCAAAGGCTTCTCTGGAGATGTGGGGGTCCTGTGGAATAACCCCAGAAAGCAGTGGGAGCAGGGATTGTCACCTGCTGGGCTGGGCTGGGCATGAAGGAAGCGGGAGCCTCTGAACCCAGCCCATGAGGTCCATGGCGGCGGCGGCCCCAGGCCCGAGGCAGCCGCACCACTGCAGGCGGCAGTGCTGGGACAGGCCTCCAGGCCTCCTGGCCTCCGGAGCGGCTCCTCAGCCCCAGCGGCCAGCTTGGCCACCCCTCGCTCGGCCCCAGGCACACATCCCCAGAGGACCGCTGACAGGACAGGCTCTGTGAAAGAGGTGGCATTGGATGCAGCCTTACAATAGGCTGCTTACGACAGGGACCAAAAGCAAGGAGCCCACCAAGGACCTGGTGAAGGGCGGGCTGTGCCCAGGTCGGCGGGAAGGGATTCGTGGACCAGACGGCTTCAAGGACGAGGTCCCTCTGTGCAACCATTAGAAACGAATGGAAGGAGAGGAGCCTGCCCGAGCTGAGTTCTCAGGCACACACAGTCCATTGTGACATCGCCGGGGGGCGGCTATAAGAAGAGAGGCTTCCGCAGTGCTGCTCCCCTCAGCCCTGGCCTCCATCACCTCCTAGGCCCACAGCCGAGCCGAGGGCATGCTCCTGTTGTCAGTTTTGCTGCTCGTGTCCCGAGCTCAGGGTGCATATCCCGGTATGTCGTCCCTTCCCTCAGTGGCCAGAGCGGCTCTCCCAGGCGGGGCCGGGCTTGAAGTGGCCCTGCCCATGTGCCCTTCGCCCAGTCAGTGGTGGGAATTAGGGACCAAAGGAGAGAGTCGACTAGTGAGCTCATTAACTAATTAGTCGGCCACTGGGAGGCTGCTCAAAGCATATTAACGGAGTGTCCCCTCCCCAGGAGCTGGGCGGGGACTCTGTCCAGAGGGCAGGTTTCTCTTTGCACAGGCGGCCACAGCCTTCGCTCTTAGCCTCCTAGGAAATGGAGCTGCTCTGCCTGGAAAAGAATGTTCCAGAACAGTTCAGGGCTTCCGGAAGTTTCAGGCCCTTGCTGGGGACCACTGTGGCTTCCCTCACGTTCTAGTTTCCTATGGCTGCTATAACCAACTACCACAAATGTGGTAGCTTAATCAACACAAATGTCTTACCTCACCATCAGTTCTGCTGGCTACGAATCCAACCTGGGTCTCACGGGGCAGGGACCCAGGTGTCAGCAGGACCACATCCCTGTCCAGGGCTCTGGGGAGAGTCTTTGCCTCGCAGCTTCTACCTTCTAGGGGGTCGTGCATATTCTTCAGCTGTGGTTCCTTCCTCCACCTACAAAGCCAGTGACATTGCACCTCTCTGTGCTTTTTCCCCGTAGTCACATCTCTCTTCTTCTCCCCCTACTGCTGTTTGGGACCCTCAGGATTACCTGTGGCCCACTCAGATTGTTCAGGGCAATCTGCCCATTTTAAAGTCAGTGCATTAGCAACTTTAATCCCATCTCCAAAATCTCTGTTCCGTATAAGGCAATATCCATTAAGACATGGTCCAATGGGAAATGGATATCTTTTGGGGAGTGTCACTCTGCCTACCACTCCATAGTTGATGCTGGACAAATACTGTCCTTTGATTTCTCTCGGATGACCGCAGACAGAAGCTCGGTGAAGCGGCCTGCCTTGAAACCACGGTGCTGGAGGGGCACAGAGCCAACACTGCTGACCCATGCCCCAGGCTCTGTGCAGCAAAATACAGCATCTGCTGGCTTAGTCGTGCACCTGGGGCACTGCCCAGGGCCAGCCTTCGTTTCTTTATGTCTAGGATGGGCATAATGATGGATACTTAGAAGCCTCCTGATAAGTGTTTTCCCTCCCTTCCACTTCCGCTCCTCCAGAGTGCGGTGAAAGGCCTGTTTTTGAGGCAGGACCTCAGTACTCCAGAATCATAGAGGGGAAGGAGGCTAAGGTGGGTGAGTTCCCGTGGCTGGTGAGTATTCAGGCAGGAAATGAACATTTTTGTGGAGGCACCATCATCGACGAGTGGTGGATTGTCACTGCTGCTCACTGCGTACATAGTGGGAAACTGCAGTAAGTATTGAGAACCCATCTCTGCTGCTTCTGGCACTGTCTGCCCCGGGAGCGCCCCACACTCAGCCACACCTGGTCGCTAAGGGGAACCCTCGGGCTGGGCGGTCCTCAGTCGGACATGGTGGCCCCGGGGATGAGCAGGCAGTGAGCCCGAGGCTGACACTCTGCCGTGCCCTGCTCGTGGTCACCCGGGGCCGATAACTACGGCTTCCCCGAGATCGCCCTCTGCCCTCTCCAGGAACAGCAGTGGCCTGGGGAGCTAAAGGACTTGGTCCGTTTGCCTCTCCTTGGACAGGCACGTCCTTCTAGGAGGAAATTTCTCCTAATCCTGAAAGCCTGACACCCTGAAGCAGGGAGGATGAACAACCACACTTTACAGAGGAGGAAGCTGAGGTCCAACAGGGTTGGGTGACTCACCCAAGGTGCACACCCAGGAAGCAGAAACAGGATTTAAATCCTGAGCCCTGCCCTGGTGCCTTCTGCTACGCCTACTACACCACCTCAAGAGAGTTTAAAGTACACAGCAAGGCTGGCCATTGCAGAGTCAATCAGATACCTGGGGACAGTCTCGCCCTGGTGTAACCAGGGAAGCACCCGCCCCCCAGGGCTTTGGGGCAGTCCCTGGCCGTTCTGCTTGGAGGGAATTCCGGAATTAATACTGACGATTCTTCCTGTGTGATCAGGGACAGTCCAGATTAAATTTTGTGCTGGGGTCTCTAAGGTGCTGGTAGGCAAATCGATGTGATAACACCTGACCTATCTGAGGGCTAGTTTGATTTGTGCCGAGTGGTTTTCTGTGGGCTCCTCAGAGCGCCCAAAGCTGAGTCCCGCCCTTGTACCAGCAGGCAGAGGTGCCCCCTTCACATCTCGGGGACAGGGCTGGGCAGCAGTGTCGTCCTCCCCTTCTACCTTCTTCAGCTCCTCCCATCTTCCTTGCAACAGCCCCACAGAACACGTCACACAAGCCCCTAGGACCCTGTGGCGTGGAGGTTTTGGGGGCACAGCAACTCCTGGGTTCTTTGTGGCTTTCCTTCCCCTCCCACCTTCCCCTCTCTGGTTCTCTGCTGCCAGACCAAGAGACCTGAACGTTGTGCTCGGAACCAACGACTTACAGAGTCCATCCCTGGAAGTAAAGGAGGTCACCAGCATCGTCGTTCACAAGGACTTTGAGAAAGTGAGCGTGAACAATGACATCGCCTTGCTGCTGTTGAGCTCGTACATCACGTTCAGCGGCCTGAAAGAACCCATCTGCGTGCCCAGGCGGCCCAGCCCCTCCACGTGGAGCGAATGTTGGGTGGCAGGATGGGGACAGACCAAAGCTGGTACGTGATGGCACAGCATCTTCCGAGAGCTGCTGAGGAGCAGCCGCATCACAGGCTCTAAGGAGGAGCCATTCCATCTAAAGGAGACAGGAGGGTGAAAGGGAGAGGGGGCTGGGGAGCACGGCAAGAAAAAGACTTGCATTGGAGCAAACCCCGAGGGGCCCCAGAGCCCCAGTCTCAGACTCGTCCGAGGGCCAAGGAAGCATCTCCCCAGAGCCCCAAGCTGTGAGGCCAGGTCTCAGACAGCCCCCGAGAGCGGTCAGCCCCTGAGCCAGCACAGAGCAGCCTTGTTTGTCTGTTTCATTGAATTTAAACCCTCCAGTTTGCCAGGAGCCCCTCTGCTCTGGATTCTTTCACGTCTCCCTTGAATCACACATTGATGTTTCCTGCCTGGTTTCTACAGGCATTCAAGACGCCTGCCCCGGCCTAGATGGGTGGCCCTGGAGTGCTGCCCAGCGGCTCTCAGAAATGAATCTGTTGTTACTTGTTACCTGTTGTTTCATTGTTACTTAGCCAAATAGGAGGAACAGGACCAGGGCAGAAAGGGATTATGGAAGCTTTCCTGGACTCTCCCTAAGAAAACACAACAAAACCAAGAGCAAACAGGAAGGGGGCGGAAATGGCCCGCACTCTCTCAGACCTGGGAGAGACCTAGGTCCACAGGGGTGCTTGGCAGCGAGCCGGGGTCTACAGAGTGCCCAGTATTTCAGGAGTTCAGTAGCTAGAGAGCAACTGGCATCTGACTGGTTGGGGTTCCGGGCACCACTCAAAAGCGGGAGGTGGAAGAATAGGCCTCCCGAATAAAAAATACTCAACAAGGAGAAGAATTCTGAAGTGTCTGTGTGGTCGCAGTTAATGAGAGGGAGAGAAATCCTGGAAGCTGGCTGGAAAGGGCCTTGGGAAATTCCCTGGAAAGACTCGCAGCCAACCTCCCCTCTCCTGTAGGATGTGAATGCTTTCTCCCTGCGAGTGTGTGAGGGAAGGGCCATACTGCCCCCTAAGAGTGGAGATAGGCAGGTAGGATGACCAGGCAGGATGATGCTGAGGAAGGACCCACAGCCAGTTCCAAGGGGCCGAGTCTGTAGGGCTGGTTGGAGTCAAGCAGGATGTCTTCTTAGAAGCAGGGAGAAGATTTAGAATGAGAGGACTAATTCAACTAGGTGCAGAATCATTCTAGAAAAACCCAGGGTGTGGACCGAGTACGCTGCGTAGGGTGACCAGGATGAAGGAGAGTGAGGGGCCGGTGGGATGCAAGGGAGTCCAGAGTGGTCCAGGGTACAGTCATTGCATAATTGACGGGGGGAAGCGGGGAGAGTGCTGTCCAGTGACTCTTCCAATGTGCTTTCTCCGTGGGCCAGATGACAAAAACTCCATGGGAACCGACCTGATGAAGGTGCCAATGATCATCATGGACTGGGAGAAATGTTCAAAGGTGTTTCCAAAGCTCACCAAAAACATGCTGTGTGCTGGATATGAGAATTCGAGCTATGATTCTTGCCAGGTAACCAGGGGATTTCTCCTCCCTCCCTCTACAGCCCCCAGCCACCCTGGCCCTGGGCTGCCGGTGCAAGGGTAGCCTCTTGCCACTGGGAATAAATGAGGAGTCTGGGAAATGTGCAGGAGACAGGGCGTGGCCACGGGGACAGGGACATGGAGTGGGTGGTGCTCCTCGTCAGGTCCTTAGGACATCAGTGCATGCTGGGAGTCGGGAGGCAGCGACCCTGCATCGCACTTCGGGTCTTCTCCAGGTACACAGATAAGTAGAGCTCCAAGACTTTTCCCATCACAGGGACTTCTTAAACAAAAAGCCAAGGAGCGTATGAGGTCTACACAGAGAATCATTCTTACCCAGCAATTTAGAGATCTTCGTCGGGCATAGTAAGCCCAGGGGATTCAGCCACGAATGGGATGGGGTTTCTCACCTCAGGGAGCCCACGGTCTCCTGGGCAGGCAGGGGGGTAACCAGCTGTGATGTCTTGCACAATGCACGTGGGTTTCATTCAACCACAGTCTGATAGCTTAGCATCTCTTTACTAAAATGAACACAAACATCGAAAAAGAAGACCATTTTTTGGTTGACGCTATGGAAAAAAAATAGAAAAGCTTCAGCAATTAGCTCCCTCTGGCCCTAAGGATGATTGGTGGGGGTTATCTTTAAAGTTCAAAGGTCCTTCTTCACCTGGGAGGGATCACCCTGACGAGCCCACTCATCCTGCTCACCGGCTGGACGGTGGAGCTGGCGGTTGGTGTAAACCCACAGATGCAGCTGTTCACTGTTCTGTGGGGTGATGGAGAGGCCGTGTCATGGGAGGGAGAGTATCCACCCTGGTTTAATGTCAGCAGATTGCCGTGTTCCCCGGCAGCCCGTGAGGTGGGGCCTTGGAGGGAACTGTGGGGTGGGGCTGGGGCCTGGAGGGAGAGGAGAAGTGGCTCTGAGACCAGGGAGTGGGCTTCCGCAGCAAAGGCACTGGGTTCAGAAGGAGTCCCCACGTGGTGGATGCTGTGAGGACCGAACAGAGAGATAGAATTGACATCTCAGGAACCTTTTGTTTTTCTCACATTCTGGACAATTTAAACATTGTAAAGCAGAAAGGAGAGTGGGTACTTCTGGTTCTGGACAAGCTGGATTAAACACATTTCTGACAATCTGTCCCATGAAGAACAGCTAAAGTACTGGACCTTGTATTGTAAAACAAAAACAAAGGCCCTAGGAGGTGGAGAGAAGATGGACTGACTGGACACCTCATATATAAAGAATGACGGAGCGGCAAGTTCCCTGGGTTTTATTTTTACCATTTATATGTATCAGATTGGATGCTAGAGAAACCCGCAACCCAGAAATGCCCATGGACGAAGACAAAATATAACCTGAACAAAATGAAAACAGAAACACCGCTCTCTGGACCAGGAGAGGGGCAACCTAGCAAGGTGGAACTTTCTGACCATGAACCTTCTGTTCCAGCAAAATACCAGGAAAATACCGCAGCCCTCCACCCCATCCACCAAGGCCAAGCGGGCAGCCTTGACTTGCCCCTTTCGCTGCCTGCCACGCTGCTGTCCGGGCAGACTGAGTGGAGAGCGGGACTTTGACCACCCTTCGGAGTGAGGAGCCATCCTCTGCCCCGCTTGGTGTCCCTGAGCACCTTGGGCTTCCACCATACTCAGGTGTCACTGGGCCCTCCTGCCCGTCCCCTTGGCGTCACCACTGGCCTGAGTGGGCAGCCTGGACTTCCACCCCAACCCGACAGTGCAGAGTTGGTACCCCCTCCCCCCACTCCAGTATCATAACAGGCCTGTTAAAACAAGGTTTAAAAGAGAGCCAGAGTCTTGTAACCCAATACTCAAGGCAATACTCCAGATAGGGTCTGTCTTAACCGGAACAGAGAGTTGCACTAACATACATGGATTCAATTTATTGAAGCACAAAATAAGAAAAAATAAAGCTGAAAATTTGAGTAAAGGATCCTTTTTAAGAAAAAAAATTGAGAACCATATTCCTAGAATAAATTCAATTAAAACTTAACTCAAAATGGATTGTGCACTGAAATGCAAAACTGTAAGAACTCTTAAGAAAAAAAAAACAGAGAAAATCTTTTGGATGTAGAATGACACCAAAAATGTAACTTGGAAAAGGAAAAATTGACAAACCGGACCTCATAAAAATAAAAATTTCTCTCTGTGAAAGACCCCATCGGGAGGATGGAAAGATGAGCTGCAGATCGTGAGGAAATATCCACAGAGGAACGACACGATATACAATGAACTTCAAACTCAACAGCAGAAAAGCAAACCCGGCAGTTACCAAACGGGCCAAAGACATGGGCAGACAATGCACGAAAGAGGATATACTGACGGCAAATAAGAACATGAAAAGATCTTCAATGTAGAGGCCGTTAAGCAAATGCAAATTAAAACCACAGTAAGACATCACTACACGCCTCTCAGAATGGCTGAAATGAAATAATAACAATACTAATAATAGTTATAGTAGAAATAATAACATCACCACCAAATGCTGACAAGAATGCTGAGAAACTGGATCCCCCACCTGGTGGGACTTTGAAATAGCCTAACCACTCTGGAAAACAGTTCACCAGTTTCTGAACAAACTGAACGTGCTCTGGCCGTATAATAACCGTCTAGTAACTGCATAGTAACCAAATGCCGCTCTTAGGCATTTATTTTCAGGAAATGAAGGCGTGAGTCCACACCAAAACCTGTACAGGAGTGTTCACAGCAACTTACTCATAATACCCCCAAACTGGAAACACGGTTTTCGAGACGTGGATAGTTAAACCGCGGCACACCCACAGCACACGATACCACTCAGCTAAGAGAAGAAACAACTATTGTCGCAATGGCGTGGATGGGTCTACAGAGACTCGTGCTGTGTGAGCTAAACCAAGCCCCAAACGTCCCACCCCTTTATACGACCTTCACTGTGTATGATTCTCTTTACGTAGCGTTCTTGAAATGACAGAATTACAGAAATGGAGAACAGATCAACGGTTGCCACAGGGGTCTAAGGAAGGGCTGGGGCTGGGAAGGGCGTGGGTCTGGAGCAGGAAGGGCAGTGGAGGGATCCCTGCGGTGATGCACGAGCTCTCCTGTCGGACTGTACCAAGGCCTCTCTGCTGGTGGTGCTGTGTGTACTGCAGTTTCGCAAGATATTGTCCCTGGGGGAAACATGAAAAGGGTACATAGAATCTCTCTGTATCATTTCCTACACGTGCATATGAAGCTATGATTACATCCGAAATAAAAACCACAGAAGACAAAGCTTCCCAAACACTGGCGTTCAGGGAAGACCTCGGATCGTCGCCATGCCATAGACCCAGGGAGCAGGCGGTCTGTCCTGGAGCAGGAGACCGAAGCTCCCAGAGCAGCAGGAAAGGGGGCAGGGCACTGAAGGGACGGTGCGGTTAAAAGAGAGAATTCCAGGCAGAGTGTGGGGGAAATCGCAGAGGCTTGGAACGGCAGCATGTGTTCAGGGAAATTCCAATGTTTCGGAAGCCAGAGGCGACGAGATGGGTGTGGAGAGGTGAACAGGGCGGTCAGTGAGGCTGTGCCAGGTGTCTCTCCTGCTGCTCACCCACGAGTACAGGATCAGGCCCCACCCACACACCCACCTCTCCTTTCAATCTCTGTGAGTCCGCGCCATCCGCATTCAGATGGCCAAACCAACTGCGGCAGACTTTAAAATAATCGAGCGCCATGTTTGGTGACATTTTCTGCACCCTCTGCTTTGATGGCTGGGGCTACCCGCTGGAGTCTCGGATTTTTGTCTCAGCCTCTCCCCTGCACTTTACTGCCAGCTTCTAAAATTAATTCTCTATTACTGAGAGTGCTGTAAATAAAGGTGCTATTATAGGCTTAAGCCTTTTTTTTTTTTTGTAAGTTGTGAAATGAAAAGCTTTGCTCTTTGTTTAGAGAGCTTCCTAGTGTCAACAACAAGCTGACAGCGATCCCATCAAGGGAATTTTTCTGAAGTTATTCAGTATTATCATCACCGCAAAACAAAGGAACCAAGCAGAAAGTCTCCCAGGGTTTAAAAGTAATTGCCCTTAAAAGTAAAATCACACTTTTAAATTTAGCAAACTTTTAAAAAGCACGAATCACATAATTAAGGGAAATGATCATTTTATAATGATGACATTTAACTATGTTCAAAATAATGGCAGGAAGATTATGCTATGCTTAAAATACAAATTAAAAATAAATGCAGAAATGAAAACCAGTTGGATTTTTTTTTTGTTTACTTTTCCCAGAGCTTTTTCTTCTTTGTAATCCCCTAAGGTTATACTATGAGAAGAAACTTTCCATTTTAAAAATAATCCATTTTAAGTGGCATCATCAAGCAAAACATAAAATCAGCCATACTCCCCCCCCACCCCCCCCACCCCCCTCGAGGAACGCGATGCTTGGGTGAAGGACCAGCAGCCTCTAGGACAGCAGGTGCGACGAGGGACAGGCACAAGGGATGAGGGACAGCCCTGTCTGTGCCCTGTCTCCCCAGCCCTCGCAGAAATGTTGCCTTATCCACGTGTGAATTCCTGAGGCCTAGTGCAGCGCTCGGCACATAAAAATGCTCAACAAATGTTTGTCGAGAACACGAACTTTCCAAGGAAGCCAGCAGCTTACTGTCAGCAAGCCAGCCCCGGCAGAGGGACACCCAAGAGAGGTCTGCAGGAGGCGGAGACCTGCAGGGACAGCAGGGCCACGAGCCGGCCGCCAACTGGGCTGTTGGGCAGTTTGGTGATGGGGCTGTCAAGCTGAGTTGGATTTAGACCTGAACTACTTTTTTAAGACTTTTTTAAAGGGCATTTTTAGGTTCACTGCAAAAGTGAGAGGAAGGGACAGAGACTTCCCACGGACTTCTTGCCCCCACACAGGCACCGCCTCCCCACGATCAACGTCGCCACCAGGGAGTGAGGCTGCTTGCAGTTGGTGAGCCTACATCGACACATCAGTATCACCCAAAGTCCATGGTTTACACTAGGGGCGCTCTGGTCGTTCTGTGAGTTTGGACGAATGTGTAACAGCAGGTGTCCATCATTAATCACAGCGCCATGGAGAGTGGCTTCACTGTCCCGGGCTACCTGCCACGGTGTTGTCTCCTGTGCATCCCTCACTACACTTGCGTGAAGGTCTTACCTCAGCCCACAGAGTCTTAGACTTTTAGAATCACAGACGTTCAGAGCTGGAAAGGGATATAGAAAAGTATGTAATCAAAACTCTGTTTCACAGATGAGAAAACATGGTTATTTTAATCAACAATCATTTCCTCCACTGTCTGAATGGACCTGAAGCAGTGTGATAACTTCAGAGTTCTTTCACCGGTATTCAGTGATTTCATTTTCTCCACTGTCCTGCAAGATTGGCTGGGTGCGCAGGTCTCACTCTCCCTGTTTAAACAGATGAGAAAACAGGGACTTAGGTTTTAAGTGATTGCCCCTTAGTCTAGGGAAGGGCAGGTTCAGGCTGGAATCTTCTATCCAAGCCCCTACTCCCTCAAAACACAGGAGTGACCACATGGTGTAATTAGCTCACAGCAGTGAACTGGGGAGGCTCTTGTGGTCAGTGTGTTTCTAACCAGACGGGTCCTTGGCTACCAGCCTTAGTCCTTGGAGGACAGTGTTTCTTAGGATGGGCCACCATCAGTATTGGGTCCTTACCAGCTGGGACCAGTTCCTCCTTTGGGACAATCCTTGCCTTCTTTAAGAGGCAGAGAAAAAATGTCAAGGTTTTGTGCATAAAGAGACGTGTATTTACAGATGCTCCTCTCAGGCCTCGGCGGTCCCTGGAGGGAATCTCTGTTCCCTGAGTGCACAAGTGATGTTTGTCATGTGTAAGGGTAAAGTGACAATACTAATGCACTTCTGGCACACTGACTATGTAGCAGTTGCTCCGTGCTGAGTGATTTATAGAGTTTTTTAAAATTTCACCTGCTGACAATCTTGGGAAGTAGTTGGTATTATCTCTATTTTAATGACATGGAAATTGAGGTTTATAAAAGATTGTTTGCCCAAGAAATGCTCTCCTTGTTAAGGGCATAAATAGTCAATGCAACATATTAATAAAAATTGTATAACATACATGCCTTGACAAAATAGAAGGGTATGATAAAAACCTCATTTGTGGAAGGAGCTATGTGAGTAGAACTGTTGATTTGGTTCTTGCCCTATGACTAAGAAAAACACCCACCTGTGAAAAATAGACAAGGGGGAGAGGCAGCAGTTTGTACTGGAAAAGGTCGTTTTGGTTTTGGCCCCCACTGACCGGGTGTCCTTGAGCTCTGACCTCTGTAAATTCTGCTCTGTTTAACCCTCTATTTGGGGGTGCGTTTGTTCCAAAGTCAACCCAAACTCCGCTTGAATACAATTTCTTTATCTTCCCCTGCACTCTAATCTCTCCTAACCACACTCTGTGACCTCGGAACAAGTGACCACCATCCATGTCCCATGTCACCAGTCATCAGATCGTGTGGGTTTCACCCCATCCCTCCCCACCCTGACCTTCAGACCCTCATTGTTTCGCCTTGTCTTAACCAGCGTCTCTACCTCCTGTCGAACTCCTCTCTAAATGGTTCTACAGACGCTGTCAAATTCCTGTTCCTCCTTCAGAGGAAACGCCTTGGAGCCTGCTCCGACAGCGTTTTCCCCAACACAGTCAGTTCCTCCCCCTCTCTGCTCCGCTTCCATCTTCGTTCATACTTCTCCAGCCTCGTCAAACACAGTGAATCCTGTCTGTTTACATGTTTACCCCCCGCCAAACTAGACCATAAGGCCTTCCATCCCAATTGCCTCACAATTAGTTTTTCCTCAACAAAAATTGGTGAAATCGGAGTGATCAGCCTTTTTTGACCTTCCCTTTTGTAATTATAAAACAAGAATCAAAATACCTACCTCAGAAATATAAGGTGATGGGGTCGGTGAGGGGAAAAAATTAAGGGGCTAACACGTGTTTTGGGAATGTCCGGGAAATGTTATCTTTCCTCCCCCTCCCCCACCTCTTCCTCCCCCATCAGAATTGTTACAATGCTCTAATCTTCCGAGTCATCTGTGTGTGGCCAGGGCCAGGGCCGTCTCCCCACTGACAGCAGACAGCCTGAGTGACTGCAGCCAGGCCATGACCGCACTGAGAAGGGAGTGGCAAGGAGGAGGGAACACGTGCTTTGGTGTCAGGAGGCCCTGGTTCCAACCCCGGCCGGGCTCCTCTGGAACCCCGAGCAAGTCCTGGATGCCCCGAAGCGTCATGTTCCCTGCATCAAATGGACGGAAGGAAGCCACACATGCGTGTGCCGCACTGTAGGGACCTGGTCCATATTTTCTATATAAATCATGTGAGGCAGGCCCACATGATTCTACCCTGGAGGGGCACACATACAGAAATCTTACCTCGCTGACCCCTCCCCTCTACAGACCCCCACCAGAGAATGCAACCCTCCCCCTCAGGCCTCTGGAAGCCCATCACATTCATATCCACAACCCTAACAACACTCCTGTTTTTCTTTCCTTCTCTCTCTGGCCCTTTCTTTTTTTCTTTGCCAAACCATGCCTAATGTTTAATAAACAGCTACTATACTTTTAGCTATAAATATATTGAGGTAAATCATTGATTTTACATAACACTTTATAATTTTTTCAAGTTCATTCTTTTTATTTAAGTATAGTTGGTATACAGTCTTGTATTGGATATGATGGTTTCAGGTGTACAGTACAGTAACTGCACATGTTCTCACCTTAACACAGTGTGATCACCCGCTGCTTCCGGCAGTCATCCGTCACTGTGTCAATGTAGCACAGTGTGACTGACTGCATCCCCTTCTCCTCTTCACCCACGCCCCACCCCCTCTTCTCATAACCAACCCTTTGGTCTCTGTTTCTGAGTCTGCTTTTGTCTTGTTTTGTTTAGTTTTGTTTGTTTTGTTTTAGATTTCAGAGCTTCTGTCTTGCGAGGCCCCACAGAACAAGTCCCCCCTCTTCTCTCAGCCTCTGCGTATTCACTCATCTCCTAGCTCCCTCTGCAAATGGAGTTATTTTCACCAGGCCCTTCCCTCCTCCTCCTCCTCCTCCCCCTCCTCCCTCTTCAGCCCGGTCCCATCCACCGCCCACGCCTGGCAGCCCGCACTTCCTGGATCCAGCCTGCAGCAGCGCCCCTCTCCCTCAGGCCTGGGAGGGGGCGGGTGGCAGTCAGCCGTGACAGGTTTCCTCCCGCAGCCCGGAGGAGGGGAGGCCAGCGGGTCCTCCTGCATCAGTGACAGTGCACAGACAAATGGACAGTTTAGAATGGGACTTGCCTCTGAACTGTGTTCTCTGCCCACAGGGAGACAGTGGGGGGCCTCTCGTCTGTACCACGGGATCCCACAAGAAGTGGTACCAGGTGGGCATCGTCAGCTGGGGAAAGAGCTGTGGACAGAAGGACACCCCAGGAGTCTACACCTTGTTAGAAAACTACAGCCCCTGGATCAAGAAGGTGACGGAGATGGAGGGAAGGCCCTACAAAGCTCAGATGATGAGAGTTCCTTCCCTACGGAAACCGGTGGGGTCCCGGGCCCCAGGGTCCCTAGAGCCAGGCAGCCCCAGACTCCGGCTCCTGCTCTGCCTTCTGTCCTACATGCTGTTCTAGGCCATTTTCTACCGATAATAAAAGAGGGGCTATTCCTTCACCAAGGGGGGTGTGCGAGAGTGTGCCACCAGCAGAGGGACTGCCTGCAGTTCAGAGCTGAGGGCCAGAAACAAAAGTGGTTAACACAGTGGAATACTACACGGCCATAAAAAATGAAGAAAATCTTACCCTTTGTGACAGCATGGATGGACCTGGAGATTATTATGTTAAGTGAAATAAGCCAGTCAGAGAAAGACAAATACCATATAATTTCACTTACACGTGGAATCTAATAAACAAAATAAACTGACAAATGAAAGAGAAAAAAGAAGCATGGACACATGGAACAGACTGACAGCTGTCAGAGGGCAGGGGAAGGGAGAGACTGAATGAAAGAAGGTCAAGGGGTCCGAGAACATACATGAGTAACCCATGGACACAGACAACAGTGGGCGATGGCGGAGGGAAGGGGGTGTGTGTGGGCTGCACGGAGGTGGGCAGAGGGGGAGAATGGAGACCTCTATAATGGTGCCAACAATAAAAATAAATAAAATTTCAAAAATAAAAAGAAAGCAGGACCAGAAACTCAGGCAGCCTGGAGCCCGGGGGCTCAGGGACGGGGCTCTGGGTCCTGCGTGAGTCAAGACCCTCCCCGCTGCAGGTGAGCCGTCACACTCACACCACCAAAGCCCAGAAGGGCTGTTTGCAGACAGAGGTACAGAACAGAAAAGCCAGGAGTGGTGTGCTGGCTTCAGTCGTGCCTGAAGCTAGGAGCTCAGCACACGCTGAGAGGGACCGTTTCTCAAACAGGGCTTCCCTGCAGTGGTCTTCGTGACCACCGGTACATCCCATTTGCGTCCCACCAGCCAAGCAGGCTCCATGGAAACACAGCCTTGCTCCTGATAATTCCAGCACAAGTCTCTGGCCTGACTCTTGTGACTCATCAGCTTTGTAAGCGACCCGAAAACTTGCATGTCTGCTTAGCAGGAGACCCTTATCTCCTGTAGCCCCAGGGCGGCAACGGCAAAAAGTCACACTCTCAACTGGTGACTGGCTGAATCAGTGTGTGAGGTGCACCCCCAGCCTCGTGGGGAGTCCACTGTTAAAGGTTGAGAAGAAACGAGGTCCTGACAACTGGAATGGGGATGTGTGAAAAGACCCTGGTGGGGCTGGGGACAGGGGGCCCCTAAATTCCGATGAGTCGTCTTTGCCAGGGGCGACAGTCTCTCCACCCTCAGGAAAAGTGACCTCTTTAGCCAACGGAGGGTACTCACCCTGCATTGCCTGAGGAAAGGTTAGTGGCCTTTCCTCAGGCAGCTGCCAAACAAGGCAAAGCTGATTCTCCTCGGGACCAGCCCGCTGCCCTCTCTGCTTCTATAACTGGACTCCAGTCCCAGCAGACCCCTAAAGGCGAAGCACATAGGGTGGCCAATGAGGAGAGCACTGCACTCCCAAAGAACTACTTGAGTTTTCTAGCTCATGCAGAAAGAAATCTGGGCAGCCCGTGGGAATGGATATTAAGGGCGGGACAACGGTGGCAGGAACATGAATTTGGTTCAGATGAATGGACTGAGAGGGGCTCTGTATCTAATGTCACACATAATGTTGCCTCTGCGTTGCTGTCCCTACAGCCGGGAAGGGCTCTGACAGTTTGGTGGTGGGCGGGCCGACACAGGGGCCTGCAGGAGACCCACGGAGAGTGAGTGAGAAATCTGTGCCTCGTGGGGCTGGTGTAGGGAGAGGAAGGGCTTCAAACACTTCGGGAGGGATTGGAATGTCGGAGTGGGTTTGTCGTTTGAGACCGAGTCGCCCACCCTGGGAAGACACGGCTATGAGGGCATGAATTTGCGAGGGGGGGACCCGGCGTCCTGGGGGAGCCGGGATCGCTCTTCTCTGCGGGCCAGACCTCACAGTGGGAGCGGCAGGCACTGAATTCGGAAACTGAGTGCAGTGGGGTGAGTGGGTCCCCGGGGGTGGGGACAGGTGACGGCACTCAGCCACCAGAGGCAAGGTGGCTGTGGTCACTGAAGGGACAGAGAGCAGCGCACAGAGCAGTGTGACCTGTGCAGAACTGCGGGTCAGCCTGCTGGTCGGGGGGTCCCGGGGCTGAAAGGGAAAGGAACCCAGCTGCATCCCACTTGCTCCATCTGAGCAGAAGGGCTCCAGGTCACAGGAATGAAGTCCAGTCTGAATCATAAACACAGAGAGTTGTGGCCCTCAGGCTGTTCTCAGACCTGAGCCAGTTTGCAGACCCAGCGGCCTTGAGAGAAAGGGAAGTGGGTCCCCTGAGGGAGGAGCCAGGGCACCACCAAATATTCACACAGCGACTCTTCCTCCAGCCTTCCCTGAAGGGACCTCCGGCCAGTCCCCGGGGTCACCGAGTTGGGGAAGAGGAAATAATCAGCCTTGGGGGACTGCTGGACCCTGACCCTGAGCTGACACTGAACCCGGGACACCCACCGTCACTGTGTCCCCAGGCAGGGCAGGGGTCACAGAGATTAGGCGACTGTGGAGCATGGCCTCAAGTCCATCTGACAGTGGACCGTGAGTCCCCACCGTCACCCTGGGTGACTCCCCCCGTTCTGCATCTCGTGTAACTGGAACAGACATGCCGAGCAGCCAGCAGAATCCCCACACTGGTCCCCTGGCTGGCGGCAGGAGGGACGTTATATGGGAAAGGCCATGGGGGAGGCCGAACCGCCCCCACCCAGGAGACCCGTGAACGAAAGTGACAGCACATTCCTGGCAGGGCCACAGAGCTCAGTGCCACCATCAGGATCTAATGATGCAGGCGCAGTGACCCACCCACCTCTCCACCTCTCCCACCTGGGCTGGAGAGTGACGGGGCTCTGAGGACCACAGAGGGTTTCTGGAGCTTCACCGGGCAGTGAGCCGCACTGAAGCTGCCGTGCCAGGGGCGGCTTCACGGCTTGAGCAAATGACCACGCCTCCTAGTACTGGCTATGTAGCTATTGATCTAGAAATTGCCGTATTCTCTGTCCCTGTCCCTAAGGTCCCCTGGAAGCAGTTACCTTGCAGTTTATAGGGCCAGCAACAATAGCTTCAGTGCTCGACCTCAGGGGTCTATCAGCTCTCAGGCCTAGATCAGAGTTCAGTTTTTCAGGGATCTTAGTCACGAGATCCCCTTCCCTTCTGCAGGAAACCACGCCAGTCCATTGCGCTGGTGTGGACGTGAGCAAAGCAGCAAGAGCAGCAACTGCTCTAGATTTGTTGGTCATGCCTGTGCATGCCAGGGGCTGGGAAACCACTCTGACAAGTTTCAGGGCCCTTCCCCCACAGGTGAAGTTTCTAGCCCCTCCCCCCGCCCCCACCAGGTAAAGGACCGTGACAGGCTGAGGTGCTTGCTGAGGGCAAAGGAAGTACAGAGCAGGGAGTGGAAGGAGGTCATTATATTACCAGCTGTGACCATGTGACCAGTTGCAGAAACAGGGACTGTGATTATTATATTTCTTCCTTATTTTGTTCTGAATGTTGTGTATGTATATATTAAACATCTTGGCTTTCTTTTCTTCTTAACATGTGATGTAAGTAAGTATTGTTAACTTTGTAAGGGACTTTATATGGAATAGTACTTAAATTACAGGACACCGAGAAAGCTAAACATCAGCCAGGGACATTGCATCCTCTTCTGGAGAGCGGGTTAGTGCACTTTAAATTGTATACAGGATCATTGTATCACATTACATAGAAGTATGAACTTGTTATCACCTTTATCTGGAGGTCAAGTTGGTTTAAGGAGATGTACGTGGGTGGCAAGGGGTGCACTTGCAATGATTCATTTAGTGTTTCGATGTGGAGGGTATTTTTAGGTAAAATTAACATTTACATTGTTAAACTTTGAGTAAGCAGATTTCCATCCACACTGTGGGTGGGCCTCATCCAATCAGCTGAAGCCCTGAATAGAACAAAAGGGCTGGCCCTCCTGAGCGAGAAGAAATTCTCCGGCAGGCCGCCTCTGAACTCCATCTGCACCATCGGCCCCCCGGGGCTCGGGGCTGCCAACCCACCCTGCAGACTCGTCGGTCTCCATAACCACATGAGCCAATTCCTCACGATGACTCTCTTTATGTATATACTCGTGCTTTTGGTCGGTTCTGCTTCTCCGGAAACCCTGATGAATGCAGTGAGGAGTATCTTCGGCACAGCAAAGGGGCTGCTGCGATGATGAGCTGGAGGCAGTGTTGCCATTGAACCTCAGACTAAGCTGTGCAGTGCTTGGTCACAATATGGAAACTGAGTTGGAGAGTTACCCAGTCAATTCACTCATGACTGGGTCATGCCAGAGGACTGTCAGGTACATCCCATCAGAGTTTTCATACCTGGAGCTGCAGTTCCTTGACTGAGTGCTGAGGTGCCTCAGGAGACTGAGCAAATTCAGGGGACATGATGGAGACACAGAGACATCTGTTGGACAGAGAGGGAAGCAACAGCGTCTGTGGGACATTGAGTGGACAACTACTGTTCAGTTATTTGGACTTAACTACTTAATAGATGCAGTCTTTAAGTATTTCTTTTGGACTAAGAGTGCAGTGAAGAAAATTCCTAGGACACTAAGGGCCCATGAACCAAGAAATTCTGGGAGCCTTTGACCTAGTGGATAACTGCTGATGTTAATACTTTTTATTTAAGATAAAGTGTGGGCTCTAATAGTGACTTTGTGCACCTTGGTTGTGACGAGGGCTTTCATGAACTGGATTATTTGTAGAAGTGCTAGTCAAGTCTATTGTTTTTTATTATTATTACTTTTATTTTAATTGTTGTTCAAGTACAGTTTTCTGCCTTTTACTCCCATCCTAGCCCACCCTCCCAACCCTCCCCACCTCCCTCTTGTTTCCACCCCTCCTAGATTATGTCCATGTGTCCTTTATACTTGTTCCTGCAAACCCTTCTCCTTTCCGCCCCCCGAAATTCCCTCCCCTCTCCCCTCTGGTCACTGTCAGCCTGTTCTCTATTTCAGTGTCTTTGGTTATATTTTGCTTGCTTGTTTGTTTTGTTGATTAGGTTCCTGTTAAAGGTAA